TTTGTATTTAGATGTTGAATGCACACTAACACTAAATAGAATAAGACAATGCTATGGATTGATTATGATAAGATCTATTTCAGTCAACACATGTTGTCTATACTGACAAGATTTTAGTATACACAAGATAAGTAATAAACTATTGACTGGACACTCCCATTGAAATGCAATAAGACAACAGCACTGCTTTATGGTTAATCAGCTTAGAAAATCTCATCATGGTCACATATGTTTCCTTGTATCAGAATCTGTGATGATGTTGCAAAAGTGGTGGTCATTTCAATGTGTATAGGATGTACAAAGAAATATACTTACATGCATTTTTGTATAGGAAACTGATGTAAAATGTGATTTCCTTTCAATATTACTTTGTATAGAACATGCTGTTTTGTTGTCACTGCAGTCATGACCTGGTGGAAAAGTTCAGTGTAGACAAATTATACCCTGATAATTGTGGAAAGGAACCAGGTTTAAATCTTGTTGGTCAGATAATGATTGGGTTTAGGATGTAGCCTTCATAATTGTAGATCAATTTGCATCTGCTTCAACCTATATAAATCAACTTTATGTATTTTACAACAATTGAAAACAAGTTTTCCCAACTTCTCTTTATCACCTGGTATACTCTTTGGGCCGGATGGAAGCACATGAGGGGTCTTACTGTGGGAGGAAACCAGAGTACCCCATGAAACCCATGTAGTAGGGCAGGTGACCCTGTGTCTTCAGGTCCATTCCAGGAATCAAACCCTGGATGTCTAGGTGAAAGGCGAGTGTGTTACCACTGCACCACCTGAGAGTGATTCAGCAAAATTAATGTCAACCTTACAAATTCTAGTTTGCTTTGATAATTTCCTTACATAATAGTGCAGAGATTATTTGAGGGCTCTTTGGGCCAATAATTAGCCCGTCACTTTCCCAACTGAAATGATTTTATATTAAAACTAAAGTCGCAACATTTGCAATTTACTCCTGAAAATTTCCTTCTCAATTCATCAATTTTCACCAAAATGATGTAAAAAAAATTCCATACTAAACCAGTGAAAAATGAATGGAATTGTCGACAAATTATTTAAAGTGGAGGTGAACATAAACATGAATACCTATTACAAGCCCTTATTTGGTTAGATTGTTTAATGGGTTGATTGTTTGGTGGGTTTATTGCTCCTGGTGACTATCTGACTGCAAATAATGTGGGAGACTGGCTTAGGTGCTATTCAAAGAAATTTAATGTATCAAAATTGTCTTTCCCAAAGGATACAAACAAGAACTGTGAACAGCACAGGGAGGTCCATGATCTTGCCTTCCTGATATACACAATATATCAGTATATAAAATGAACCCACTTACCACCTGTGTTAGTCTAGTGTTTTGCTGACTGTGCTATAGTGGCCTCTTTTTACAGAGTTTAGCATGAATAACATCATGTATATCCCACAGTGGTGACACTCTGTTAAATATTCATAAAGTCATCAACTACCAAATCTAACTGTCATCATGCCTTGATTTGAATTCTTCTTCCAACAATTTATACATCTCGAAGGATTTTACTTACAGTGAAGGATTAATTAATTATGGTGGTACATTTCCATTTTGTCATGGTTATAATTAAAACAACAACGCTGTGTAATTTATGATTTTGTTAGCTTAAGGTTTCCACAGAATCAAGTCGCTGTAAAGATTGTTTTTAATTTGGTTCAGATATGTCTGGTTTTACCAAAAGCTTGAAACAAAAGGAGTGGATTTGTCACCATAATCACAAAATGGGTAGATGATTTTTGGTATCAATTTTTTTCACTTTTTTATTTTATCTTTGAAAATAATGAAAAATAGAACTCCATGGTTATAACAGTTGCTAGTGAATTAGAAATTTTCCACTTTATTTATTAATATCTGCTTGTTAAGAGAACCAGCTTTAAAGATGACCATAACAACATCATCTGTTGTCTGGGTAACCAGCAAAACATTCAAATAATTTGACCACAAACCGTCCACATATCTAATGTTGATGTCCTTTGATTGTGTGCTTTGTATTATGTCACTTATGTTCATATTTCAAATTTGTTCTGATGATGATGATGGGCCTAAGTGTTATAACTAGTCAACATCCTTGATTAAAGTCCATCAGCCCAGCCAGCCATTGTCATGGTCATCTTTACCTATTTATAACTCTATTTTAAGGTCGGATTCTTGTATTCCGTGTGAAATCCATCAGCGAAACATCATTTACTGCACACTTTACGTGAATGTTGGTTCTCCTATTCCTCGCTTAGTTTATAGATATGTGTTTATGATTCAAATAATGCGCATTTATGGAATTATCAGCATAGCAACAGAATTTGAAGTGGAATATTATCATATACCGGTATTTCTTGTTATGGTATCAGTACATACCTAGCATTTGTTTGCTACCACTGAGGGTTTGCTCTATGTTTTTCTATCTGTCTGTCTAGTACTGTATTTTTCTGATAATATTTTATCCTGGTGCTGTGGGTATGATACACCTTATCACGCATTGATCAAAAAAGTAGCTGTGTTGTAGAATTCATTTCAGGGGAAAAGTTAGCAGAAAATGTATTATCTGATTGGTTGTTTTTGATGGTGTTACTCCCAGATGTTTCCACACAGTTTAAGTCTTAGTGTGAAACATGAAGAAATCACTAAAACAAACAGCATTAGGTCCAAGTTCCTTTATTCTCTAGAGTATGAGCTCGATGCCAGGATCACAATCATGAACATAAACAGGCATTTGACTACAAACATCAAGTATACAGAAGAATTACCGTGTTGGACTCACTCCTTTGTACTCGTTACCAGGATTTTTAGTGAGACCTCGTGTATACTATTGGATCCACGACTAGTTCATTGGGATTTCCACCGAATCGTACTCTTAGGGACGTTGTGCCTCCACCCCCGAAGTGATTACTTAACATTACCTCGCAAACAATGATACAGTTGACAAATCATTTATACAATGAAGAATTATTGATGGGTAATATTTGGATATCAATGTGAAATTAATCACATGTTAATCTCAACACTTTAATTTAATTTAACCCTTTACATCTTATATAATTGCATGTTAGATTACCTATACGTTTGTCATATTCTGAGGTACGGTACATCCTTTAGTATAGCACAACTCACCCTAGGGAAGGTTTGATGAGAGACATTGGTTCCTATATTGTAACTGTGAGATACCTGAATAGCTTGTGATAAACAGCTTTTAATGACATAAACTAGTAATGTAAATAAACATAAATATTGATATAATAGTAAAACACAATAATCTCTGGGATGCAGCAACTATGATCCTAAGATTCAACTTCAATGATAAAATTCACTGTTTCCTACATAGTATCTGTCTGTGTGTGGTATCTGAATAGCCTGTGATAATCAAACAGCTTTCAATGTCACAAACTAGAAATGTGAAAGAGCATAAATATTGATATGATAGAAAAATACAACACTGTAAAACACAATAATCTCTGGGATGCAGCGACTACAATCCTAAGATTCAACTCGGATGGTTATGGAGCTATGATGCTATCCGTTACACCATTGTGGATGTTAACATATACATGTAACCAGTAGACTAAATGACAGACAGGGTATATAAGTACTATTGAACACAGATATGAATAGCAGTGATCACAAATACATGGAAGTCAAAAACCAATATACTAAATTATCAACTAACTCCTGTATTTGATATTTCATATAAATTTATACTAAATTATAAGTACACTTCATGTAATGGATTACTTACATATATTTTGTCTGATCGGGGATAGATGATCTAGAATCACTTAAATTTGACATGTTCTGGTCATCCACTGTCTGATCTGTAACTGCTGTACTGATGACAAAGAACTGGTTTGAAGTGACTGCTTGAATCCGATTGGTCAAAGCAATTTGCAAACTTTCGAAATTAACTTTTAACTGTATTTTGAAATGAAACACATTTATGCTATCTATATGAATAGCTTGATTAAAATGTGATTTAAACCAACTAGGTAAAAAATAACATAAATATAGTGCTAATCCCACTTCCATGTCACATTATTGTCATGTGACCAAGACAATTACGAAGTGTGCGACGTACCATATTAATGAATCAATCTAACAAACAAAAAGCAAGAGATTGTGATATTTATGTTGAAATTATTTACCCATCAAACTTTAAATATTTAATTATATAAACCCACTTTTTCAGTTCACTCCACAATTTTAGTGGGAATGAGATGATTGCAGGGAATTTAAGCTGATGAAGAGGGCACTGATATGTATTTTATAGTCTTTTAACACTTGGTTGCCCTTCTATAAACCCTTCCATGAACTTCAAGTATGATATACACAAATTTTACCAATTTTATTTCAGATTTAAATTGTGTTTCCTACTGCCTTCAAGTTCAATGTATTGCCACATTTCAATGTTAAAACACTTTCCTGTACATGGTTTTATAATGAACTCCATTGTTTTGTAATATTTGTACGTAATTGATTTATTAGGTAAATTATGGTATGATAAAAGTGCAGTGTAAGTTCCAGTGTTTTACAAGCAATATTTCACAAGTCCTAGCTAATACATATATGGTTAACATACTTTACTGAGCACAATGAAATTTTTGCACATCATTATTATTCATGTTTTGGTAAATTAGCTGAATGATGAATTTATGCATTCAGACTTAATTGGCATGCAAGATACAGGAACTTCAATTTGCACAATCATATTTTATTGCAATACTTCAAGTGAAAAGTGCTAAAATAAGGGTACTGCTGAAATATTTTAATACAAATTAGAAACCATGTGAGTGATATCAAGCTGGATCTGTTCTCACAAGATGGAAATAAAATAAAAAGATATTTTTAAACATTCTGTTGAGGTTGAGAAAACACAAGACTCCATCTGCTGTCAGTGTGGATATTTGAATACTATTACATAATTTGAATTTCCTGTAAAGTTGCTGACATTGATATATGTTACAGGTAGCTATACCATGAGCGAGTACAGCCGCCTGTTTAGTGGGGCCGATCCTACACGTGTAGTGCTCAACCCTGGCACAGATGACGAGCTGGTGAGTCTTTGTTACACCACATTACCTTACCATATTTATCTTAAGATAAACCCAGGTAATGTCATACCAAGTTGGAAAGAGCATTTCTTAATAATTCTGCTACAAGGTACAAAGTGAAATGTGTTATTTATATTACAAATTTGCATTGGCCACAGGAGATAAATGTGTCATTTATGTTACAGATTTGCTATGAATACAGATTTAAATGTGTTATTTCAGTTTCACATTTTCTATGACCACAGTGGGAAATGTGTTAAATCAGATTCACATTTTCTATGATCACAGGTGGAAATGTGTTATTTCAGTTTCACATTTACTATGACCACAGGGGGAAATGTGTTATTTCAGTTTCACATTTTCTATGACCACAGGAGGAAATGTGTTATTTCAGTTTCACATTTTCTATGACCACAGGAGGAAATGTGTTATTTCAGTTTCACATTTTCTACGACCACAGGTGGAAATGTGTTATTTCAGTTTCACATTTTCTATGACCACAGGAGGAAATGTGTTATTTCAGTTTCACATTTTCTATGACCACAGGAGGAAATGTGTTATTTCAGTTTCACATTTTCTATGACCACAGGAGGAAATGTGTTATTTCAGTTTCACATTTTCTATGACCGCAGGTGGAAATGTGTTATTTCAGTTTCACATTTTCTATGACCACAGGAGGAAATGTGTTATTTCAGTTTCACATTTTCTATGACTACAGGGGGAAATGTGTTATTTCAGTTTCACATTTTCTATGACTACAGGGGGAAATGTGTTATTTCAGTTTCACATTTTCTATGACTACAGGAGGAAATGTGTTAAATCAGTTTCACATTTTCTATGACCACAGGAGGAAATGTGTTATTTCAGTTTCACATTTTCTATGACCACAGGGGAAATGTGTTAAATCAGTTTCACATTTTCTATGACCACAAGGGGAAATGTGTTAAATCAGTTTCACATTTTCTATGACCACAGGGGGAAATGTGTTAAATCAGTTTCACATTTTCTATGTTCACAGGGGGAAATGTGTTATTTCAGTTTCACATTTTCTATGACTACAGGGGGAAATGTGTTATTTCAGTTTCACATTTTCTATGACCACAGGAGGAAATGTGTTATATCAGTTTCACATTTTCTATGACTACAGGGGGAAATGTGTTAAATCAGTTTCACATTATCTATGTTCACAGGGGGAAATGTGTTACTTCTGTTACAGACTTGCTTTGGCTAGGTTAGATGGTGTTTTGAGGTCATCTGACCGGGGAAAATGTGTTAAATCATGACCACAGGAATTTCACATTTTCTATGACTACAGAGGGAAGGGTCAAGATGATCAATTGCCAATGAATTTTGTCTGGCATCGTCCAGCATGTGTGCTCCGTAAACTTTTCCTTTAAAATGGTACCCTTTCTTAATGCCTGTGTGAATTTCAATCATATTTGGTCTGAAATATTAGGGATAGGCAAGTATTTCTTAAATTCAACCATACGGGACTGTAGGACAATGCTCCAAAAAGGGAATTTGGCAAAGATTTTACCTTTAAACCTTACTCTTCCTTAATGCTTTAGCATGTTTCCACCAAATTTGGTCTGAAACATTACAAGCGGGCAATGATTTCTTGAATTCAGAAAGTTGATTTGACCCTAGAGACTGGGGTGTGGGGCCCTGAATGGGGAATTTTAAAGATTTTGCTTTCATCAAATTTGGTCTGATCATCACTTGGTGATGTTAATCATTTCTGAAATTCAGACCTAGTAAGCTGAAATTTTGCTTTCCAATGCTATAAGATCCCCTAATGCTTAAGAAGGTTTGTGTCAAATTTTAATTGAGACACCGATGATTTCTTAAATAAATTATTTGATTGCCATATGATGGTTAAGGCCCTTGGGGCTCTTGTATCTGTTACAATGCTATGGGTTCAGGGATTAATGATGTTAAAATTTGACAGATTTGCTATGATTTCAGAAATATAAGATAGTTTTACAGATTTGCTTTGAATACACATTTAAATAGTGCAAATAATTTTAAAGAGTTGCTATGAGTACAGGATTAAATGGTGTTATTACTTCACAGATTTTCTATGGATACAGAATTATAAAATCATTTTACAGATTTCATATAGTACAGGGTTAAATCGTGCACGTATAACATCACAGATTTTTAATGGGGTTAACGGGTATAGGGTTGAAATTATTTTACAGACTTGCCATGTGTGAAGGGTTAAATAGTGTCATCATTTTACAGACTTGCCACGCGTAAAGGGTTAAATGGTGTCATCGTTTTACAGACTTGCCACGCGTAAAGGGTTAAATGGTGTCATCGTTTTACAGACTTGCCACGCGTAAAGGGTTAAATGGTGTCATCGTTTTACAGACTTGCCACGCGTAAAGGGTTAAATGGTGTCATCGTTTTACAGACTTGCCACGCGTAAAGGGTTAAATGGTGTCATCGTTTTACAGACTTGCCACGCGTAAAGGGTTAAATGGTGTCATCGTTTTACAGACTTGCCACACGTAAAGGGTTAAATGGTGTCATCGTTTTACAGACTTGCCACGCGTAAAGGGTTAAATGGTGTCATCATTTTACAGACTTGCCACGCGTAAAGGGTTAAATGGTGTCATCGTTTTACAGACTTGCCACGCGTAAAGGGTTAAATGATGATGTAATTTTACAGATTTGCTATGGATACAGAGCAAACAGATGGAAGCTGCTGCTGTTTATATTACTGACATGCAGCAGCCTTGGATTTTTGCTGCTGTTGATGCTATGGCGACCAGAACTAGAATGCTACATCAAAAGAAAGAAGTGCCATCTGATAGACGCAGACACCATCCTCATTCAGGTATGTCGTTTACAGCAATTTTGTACATTCTGGGAACCCTGTAACAAGAAGCAATATGTAGGAAACATTGGCAATTTCAAAAATCAGAGACATATGTGATAAATACGTCTCTGCAAAAATATTGAATTCAGAATAGTGTTTTGTTCGAAAATATGGAGCAATGGGAAATTAGCATGAAATTGTGTCATAATATTATGTGTAGCATACTTATTTAAAGTCTCTTTGTGATAGTGTGCAACTGAAACTAATCTCAACCTCATACACTACCATAATAATGTATACTTCAGAAGGCCAGGAGACCCCACCCTGTCACATTATACTGACAACAGGTGTCCCAGTCATTACACTACCACACTGATGTATACTTCAGAAGACCTCTAGCAGCACACCCCACCCTGTCACATTATACTGACAACAGGTGTCCCAGTCGTTATACCCCACCCTGTCACATTATACTGACAACAGGTGTCCCAGTCGTTATACCCCACCCTGTCACATTATACTGACAACAGGTGTCCCAGTCGTTATACCCCACCCTGTCACATTATATTGACAACACCCCACCCTGTCACATTATACAGACGACAGGTGTCACAGTCGTTACACTACCACACTGATGTATACTTCTGAAGGCCTCCAGCAGGAAACCCCACCCTGTCACATTATACTGACAACCGGTGTCCCAGTCGTTACACCCCACCCTGTCACATTATACTGACATCAGGTGTCCCAGTCGTTACACCCCACCCTGTCACATTATACTGACATCAGGTGTCCCAGTCGTTACACCCCACCCTGTCACATTATACTGGCAACAGGTGTCCCAGTCGTTACACCCTACCCTGTCACATTATACTGACATCACGTGTCCCAGTCGTTACACCCCACCCTGTCACATTATACTGACATCAGGTGTCCCAGTCGTTACACCCCACCCTGTCACATTATACTGACAACAGGTGTCCCAGTCGTTACACCCCACCCTGTCACATTATACTGACATCAGGTGTCCTAGCCGTTAAACCCCACCCTGTCACATTATACTGACATCAGGTGTCCCAGTCGTTACACCCCACCCTGTCACATTATACTGACAACAGGTGTCCCAGTCGTTACACCCCACCCTGTCACATTATACTGACATCAGGTGTCCCAGTCGTTACACCCCACCCTGTCACATTATACTGACATGAGGTGTCCCAGTCGTTACACCCCACCCTGTCACATTATACTGACATCAGGTGTCCCAGTCGTTACACCCCACCCTTTCACATGATACTGACAACAGGTGTCCCAGTCGTTACACCCCACCCTGTCACATTATACTGACAACACCCCACCCTGTCACATTATACTGACATCAGGTGTCCCAGTCGTTACACCCCACCCTGTCACATTATACTGACAACAGGTGTCCCAGTCGTTACACCCCACCCTGTCACATTATACTGACAACAGGTGTCCCAGTCGTTACACCCCATCCTGTCACATTATACTGACAACACCCCACCTTGTCAGATTATACTGACATCAGGTATCCCAGTCGTTACACCCCACCCTGTCACATTATACTGACAACAGGTGTCCCAGTCGTTGCACCCCACCCTGTCACATTATACTGACTCAGGTGTCCCAGTCGTTACACCCCACCCTGTCACATTATACTGACAACACCCCACCTTGTCATATTATACTGACATCAGGTGTCCCAGTCGTTACACCCCACCCTGTCACATTATACTGACAACAGGTGTCCCAGTCGTTACACCCCACCCTGTCACATTATACTGACATCAGGTGTCCCAGTCGTTACACCCCACCCTGTCACATTATACTGACATCATGTGTCCCTGCCGTTACACCCCGCCCTGTCACATTATACTGACAACAGGTGTCCCAGTCGTTACACCCCACCCTGTCACATTATACTGACATCAGGTGTCCCAGTCGTTACACCCCACCCTGTCACATTATACTGACATCAGGTGTCCCAGTCGTTACACCCCACCCTGTCACATGTCATACTGACATCAGGTGTCCCAGTCGTTACACCCCACCCTGTCACATTATACTGACATCAGGTGTCCCAGTCGTTACACCCCACCCTGTCACATTATACTGACATCAGGTGTCCCAATCGTTACACCCCACCCTGTCACATTATACAGACATCAGGTGTCCCAGTCGTTACACCCCACCCTGTCACATTATACTGACATCAGGTGTCCCAGTCGTTACACCCCACCCTGTCACATTATACAGACATCAGGTGTCCCAATCGTTACACCCCACCCTGTCACATTATACTGACATCAGGTGTCCCAATCGTTACACCCCACCCTGTCACATTATACTGACAACACCCCACCCTGTCACATTATACTGACAACACCCCACCCTGTCACATTATACTGACAACACCCCACCCTGTCACATTATACTGACAACACCCCACCCTGTCACATTATACTGACAACACCCCACCCTGTCACATTATACTGACAACACCCCACCCTGTCACATTATACTGACAACACCCCACCCTGTCACATTATACTGACAACACCCCACCCTGTCACATTATACTGACAACACCCCACCCTGTCACATTATATTTATGTTTCCAGTTTATTATTTCAGACTACATAATAAAGTATTGCTTTCCCTAATTTCAGGATCATGTAAAGCGATGGTTTGTCAGCGAGGTTCAAACAAAGGGATTTGATGAATACATGTGAGTGAAGCTTCTTTCTTAACCCTTGCTTAGCTGTAAGTTGTAGTCAATGTTTTGTTTCTACATTATAAACACTAAACTCAGCTTAGTAGAGTTGGATGTACATTGTTTTAATGATTTTAAGTTTTGCTGTTTCAACTGAAACTGTTCATCTTTTTATAGTGGTGTACCAGAGAACTACCATCAGTCTGGAGACTTGTCTGAAGAAGATGAAATGGACTGTTGTGACACCACCAGACTAAAAAGTGTTGGTATAGAGTTCAGGATGTTTTTCATGCTGTTTAAGATGTGATCAGATGAGTTATTGCAAAAAAAAAAAAAAAAAAAACAATAAAAGTAACACAGCCAGGTAGAAAACTATAAATGTTTGGAACTAAAAAAATGATTTAACTTTGATTTCAACAGGTTTTAGTTTTCACCATTTTGGATGCCTAACAATAGGTATCTTGAAAATGATCTATAGTGGGGAAAACATTGTCCGTTTCTTGATTTCTGTGTAAAGTGCGTTCTTTTAGCTTCATGCTTTTGGTAAAAGTAGGAGAATTTGAATAATTGAAAAAAAAAACCTTTATAGTGTTTGAGATGTAGATCTAATGTTTTGTGATACTATAATCATGCTTTTTGTGTGCACATCATGTGATGACATCATCATTAATTGTGTAGTTTTGGTTAATAGTTTTGTGCATTTGTTTTACTAATTTGTAATGAGACTCTCCTGAAATATCTGAAATCTGAAATGTTTTAACTGCTATGTTTTGTTTTATATTTCAATTACAGCCAGATGTCAGCTTGAGGTATTTTGATCATCAACATTTAAGATACATCTGGGAACAGGGAGTGCGATCCTTCATTCAGCTCCAGTATGTATCAGTGATCTTTCAGTGGGTGTAACTGTAATATAGGTCTTGTACATTCAAGACAGATTTTATATTGAGAGGATAATTCTAAAGATATCTTTATTGTGGAACAATGCTACAGACCTTTAATGAAGGAATTAACATAAATTAACAGAATATTTGCTATTTTGAATCCAGCATCACAAAATTCAAAAGTAGTATGTTCCCAGTGCTATTTTGATCAGCAGCTTGAGACTAAAATGGAAAGTTTTATTTTACCAGGGACTTGTCTCATAATACAAAGTGTTCAACACTCCAGGAGTCATTCCAGGGCCTGTCACAGCGAGAACAAGCACAAAAGTAAGGCACCTACATGTACCTGAAATTTTAGTGCCTAGGATCTAATTTCAGTTTTCTTTTTATATAACTTAGGTCATATAATTAAAACTGTTTTGTCAGCAACTACTGTACAATTTCATGAAATTAATGAAAAAAATTAATTAATAGTGTGTAAACATTTTTAAAAAGATTACTTTGTATTATGTTTCTTTGTTATCAACAGTCATAGATTTTAAAATGTTACATGTTCTGCTTCTTCATGTCTAAAACATTTTCTTTTTGGTTGTGTAATATTTTCACATGTGAGAAATATCACTTATTCTTATTCTCAAATACATGTGAAAAAATTATGATAGGAGACAAATCATTTAATTCTGTTCATTGAATTTTTGAAAGAAAAAAAAAAGAAACAGCATCCAACAGTGAAGGAATGGGTAGTCTTGTTTACATCATTGTGGTATAATTACGATACATATAAGTAAAAATAGACAAATCTGGATACTTCACTTAATTTACTGTTTGTTAAAGAATCTTTTTGATAAATCTTACAGACGTGTGGTTTTTGGAGAAAACCTGATAGATGTGGAAGTCAAATCATACTGGAAACTTTTTATTGAGGAGGTGAGTATAAAACACCTTAATTTACTCTAATTAGTAAAATCATTCATTTTTGTGGGTGATTCATTTTCATGGATTTTGTGGATATGTTTAGATCAAGTGTAAGTAGATTTATTGAGTTATACTTATCAAACAAATCAAGTGTTCATGAAGTAGTACTTTGTTGAAAAACCATGAAAATTTAGTCACACAAGAATGTATGATTCTGCAGTGATGATTGGCTAAAGGTCAAGGAGGTGAGTACACAATGTATAATTCCTTACTTTGTCCCCTACCAGGGAACAGGAGGTGTTAGTACTATAGGTAATGTAGCTGAAGGTCAAGGAGGTGAGTACACAATGTATAATTTCTTACTTTGTCCTCTACCAGGGAACAGGAGGTGTTAGTAATATAGGTAATGTAGCTGAAGGTCAAGGAGGTGAGTACACAATGTATACTACCTTACTTTGTCCCCTACCAGGGAACAGGGGGTGTTAGTAATATAGGTAATGATTGGCTGAATGTCAAGGAGGTGAGTACACAATGTATAATTTCTTACTTTGTCCTCTACCAGGGAACAGGGGGTGTTAGTAATATAGGTAATGTAGCTGAATGTCAAGGAGGTGAGTACACAATGTATAATTCCTTACTTTGTCCCCTACTAGAGAACAGGAGGTGTTAGTACTATAGGTAATGTAGCTGAAGGTCAAGGAGGTGAGTACACAATGTATAATTCCTTACTTTGTCCCCTACCAGGGAACAGGAGGTGTTAGTACTATAGTTAATGTAGCTGAAGGTCAAGGAGGTGAGTACACAATGTATAATTTCTTACTTTGTCCTCTACCAGAGAACAGGGGGTGTTAGTACTATAGTTAATGTAGCTGAAGGTCAAGGAGGTGAGTACACAATGTATAATTCCTTACTTTGTCCCCTACCAGGGAACAGGAGGTGTTAGTACTATAGGTAATGTAGCTGAAGGTCAAGGAGGTGAGTACACAATGTATAATTTCTTACTTTGTCCTCTACCAGGGAACAGGAGGTGTTAGTAATATAGGTAATGTAGCTGAAGGTCAAGGAGGTGAGTACACAATGTATAATTCCTTACTTTGTCCCCTACCAGGGAACAGGGCGTGTTAGTAATATAGGTAATGTAGCTGAAGGTCAAGGAGGTGAGTACACAATGTATTTTACCTTACTTTGTCCCCTACCAGGGAACAGGGGGTGTTAGTAATATAGGTAATGATTGGCTGAATGTCAAGGAGGTGAGTACACAATGTATATTACCTTACTTTGTCCCCTTAGTACTATAGGTAATGTTGAATCTGTCTGTTAGTACTAAAGTTTCTTTCAATAAAGTTTTGTCTTATTTGATAATAAGTTGCTATCCTGGTCCTTTGTACCTCTGGTAACTTTTTGTTCAAAATATTCCAAATGTTTAAACTTAAATGTGAAGACCATTATGATTGATAGCATCAAAATACGGTTCCAAGGGTTTGTTATTTGGTTGATTACAATTGACAATTTGGTGAACAATTGTTTGATGGTGTGAAAATTGTTTAAGGTACTGATACTGTCAGTGTCAACATCAGCAACAATTAGGCACAGTTATTGTAATTCCATTATAATTAACACTTAATAGCTGTGTATCAAAGATTGGATAGGATATTTCTTCGGTTTTATCATTTCCAGCTTATTTGTTACATAATTATCAACATAAATATTATATTTGTGAATCCCTAACATATGTTGCTGGTAGGTTGTCTAATTTTGTTTCTTTTGTTTTTTTTTCGTAATTTTGGTATCACTTCTATTGAGATATTTCAACTCAGATAAATTTTTGCTTATTCTATATTTCCACCTTTAATAAAACTTGAGTCATAATTTTTTGTAAATAGAGATATAGTTTCTAAACAGAATAGAAGCCGAGAGAATTTCAGTATGTTGTGTTTTTATTACAGGTGATGAATCCATTCTACATATTCCAAATCTTTAGTATCATTCTGTGGTTGATGGACAATTACTACTACTACGCTGCCTGTATATTTCTCATCTCCTTCATCTCTATTACCATATCTTTACGCCAGATCAAGAAGGTAAGTAAAATGCCAGAGAAATTGCATTAAAAATGAAATTAAGTGTTGCCACAAAGTATTTTCTAGTATTTTTAAGGTTATACTACAAAATTCAATATAGCTCAGAAAGAAAAATTCTACCCAATTCAATTATTTAAGATTTCAACTTCACTATAATGAGAATTTTTTGATGAATGAAAAATTGGTGTGTAATGTAAGTTACATGTGAATATTTTTACACTACACTGATTGGTTTCATGCCAACAATTAATTGAGGTACTTGTTCAGAAAATTTTGAAAATGGATTTCATACTTACAAATTATGTAAAGTAGCAAAGGTGACATGTCTTGTCTTGTTGGCTTATGTAACCACAGGTGATAGCTCATTGCTTTCTACTTATGGCATTAAGTGTTTCACAGAAAGTTAAACAATCTTGGCTAATACTGTTGTTTCTTCTGCCCATACACTAATTTATCTGAAGGGTATGGTGTTGACCTCCCATTTGTTATTCAATGAGGTTGCCACAAGCTATTACAAGAAGGCCCTGGCTGTTCATGCGTTGAGAAACACACAAACAAACTCAACAAAGATTAAGCTTTTTATTAGTTACTCATTTAATGAGAATTTCTTAACAACTCAATGGTTAAATCAGTTGATAAGTATCAATTTCAGATATACATTATTTATACACATGTAGGTTATGAATGGTTTCCCCGTATTTAAGGACACACATTTTATCTTAGCAGGGAGTTTTATTCCAACATCATTAATATCGTAAGGATCAGGTACTAATAATTTGGTTTGAATAGTGTTGAGAAATGTTTGCTGTTGCTGTGAGCATGTCCATCATGTAACCATTATTTTGACTTTCTGTTTAATACCTTAGCCCGACCCTCATCTTCCAAACCTTTAAACTTTGATTTCACTTTCTTTCAGAGATATTAGCCCTGCCCTGGTCTTTCACTAAGTAAACCTTAGTTTTACTTTCTGTCCATGACTTTAGCCTGGCCCTCAGCTTCCACCTTGTAAACCTTGATTTCACTTTCTGTCCAAGACCTTAAACCCCACTCTCATTTTCCACCATGCAATCCTTGATTTGACTTTGTAACCAAGACCTTAGCCTGGCTCTTGTCTTTCTTTATGTAAACCTTGGTTTTACCTTCAACTCAATGATGTACAGGAATAAACTTCAGGATTTCAATGTGAATCTGTGGTTTTCTGTTTTCTCATCTTATTGTCTGGAGGAGATCGTGATTCCTTTTTATCCACAATGGCTTTGATGGCTAGATGTTGATATAGCTTGTGACTCGCTGTGTATCTGATCACTTTGGCCACTATTTACAGAATTATAAAGCTTATTTACTATGTGTTGCTTATACATGTTGATATTTTCTTTTTCATACGGAATTTGGTCATTTGGAATTATAGTATCATGTATTAGAGTTTGTTCAATGTTTAACTATTTCTAGAGTTATGGCCCTTTGTTTTGATATTTATATTTGAGTGGGTCTAGGGATAGCTTGCTTCATCCTCATGATGCCCAATTCTTCTGCCATATAAAATGATAATCACTCTGTTATGACCTTGTTTCTGCTAACCTACTGCATGTAATGTTATGTGGAATTTCAGCCCTAAGCATCACATAAGGATGAAACAGCTTAATGGAAATACTGCATTTGATTCTAAGTATTAAAATGTGATATTCACATGTGTGTCTCTTGTACAATTTTATGAGCTGTTGGTTTATCATTCTTTATGTTCTAAAGACATCTATATAAATATTTTTTTGTGAAAGAGAAGTTGTGATAGACTTTAAGAAAATTTTATTTATTAGCAGATTGAGATTTCAGGTGAACAAAATGAACAGGATTCCAAGGATCTGAATACTTCGAATCATGTACAACATTCTTGCATGAATAAGCAGGGCATTTTAAGTTATGTATTTTTAGTCGTTACAGATTTTACTATTAGAGACAGAAGTATATGTTACGGTAAATGTTTACTAACAAGTTAACATCATTTGATATTGAGATCAAAGATGTATTTTGATGGTCATCAGATCAATATAGAAATGTCTAATTCAGTTTTTTTTATGTCAAATTATACAGCAAAGTGTAGCACTTCATGATATGGTGTCTGTCTCGGAGCAGAAGATAGAGATTTGTTTGGGACAAGGAAAAGGTGAGTTTGGAACAAAGGGAGGTAAATCTCAGATAATATAACCAAATAGTTGTGGCAAATGTAATCAGGATCAAGGGGAGGTAAATATCAACTTATTGTGAATTAAATACCGAGGCAGCTTTGAATAAAATGGTTGGATGAGTTCGGTAGTGGAGAAGTGAAGTAAGGGGACACAATAAATCTTTGACCAGTTGGAGTAATGGACATGATAAGTTTTAGCCAAGAGGCATCCATTGATTTTCTTCTTTATTCTGTAATTTTATCTGATTTCACTTGGCAGGGTATGAAAAGGTGCTAACATCTTCTCTGGTTCCTGGAGATTTGATTGTTCTTCCACAAAATGGATGTACAATGACATGTGATGCAGTGTTGGTCACAGGAACCTGTATAGTTAATGAGAGCATGCTCACAGGTAGGTGTGTTTACCTTAACTGCTCTGGATAACATGTGTCAGGTAGGTGTGTGTACCTAAACTGGTCTGGATAACATGTGTCAGGTAGGTGTGTTTACCTTAACTGCTCTGGATAACATGTGTCAGGTAGGTGTGTTTACCTAAACTGGTCTGGATAACATGTGTCAGGTAGGTGTGTTTACCTTAACTGCTGTGGATAACATGTGACAGGTAGGTGTGTTTACCTTGACTGCTCTGGATAACATGTGTCAGGTAGGTGTGTTTACCTAAACTGGTCTGGATAACATGTGTCAGGTAGGTGTGTTTACCTTAACTGCTCTGGATAACATGTGTCAAGTAGGTGTGTTTACTTTAACTGCTCTGGATAACATGTGTCAGGTAGGTGTGTTTACCTAAACTGGTCTGGATAACATGTGTCAGGTAGGTGTGTTTACCTTAACTGCTGTGGATAACATGTGACAGGTAGGTGTGTTTACCTTGACTGCTCTGGATAACATGTGTCAGGTAGGTGTGTTTACCTAAACTGGTCTGAATAACATGTGTCAGGTAGGTGTGTTTACCTTAACTGCTCTGGATAACATGTGTCAAGTAGGTGTGTTTACTTTAACTGCTCTGGATAACATGTGTCAGGTAGGTGTGTTTACCTAAACTGGTCTGGATAACATGTGTCAGGTAGGTGTGTTTACCTTAACTGCTCTGGATAACATGTGTCAGGTAGGTGTGTTTACCTTAACTGCTCTGGATAACATGTGTCAGGTAGGTGTGTTTACCTTAACTGCTCTGGATAACATGTGAAAGGTAGGTGTGTTTACCTTAACTGCTCTGGATAACATGTGACAGGTCTCATGTATGTCATTCAGTAAAGTTTTCAGGAGTTATCAGAAAGCAACACCTACCTCAAAATGACCCTGGCTGTTCAAGGGGTGATAAACGCAGCGAAATAAAAAATCGTCAGTATCTTCTACAAATAGAAAGGGTGTGAAGTTGGGTATCAAGGTTGTACATTTTATTTATTCTAATCTAAGGGTGGTCCAATTGTACATTTTGCTTACCAAGTCCATCAAAGTTATATCTTTTATTTTTCAAGGGAAATATGATTATTATTAAGTAAAAATACCTTCCTACTATAGGTGAGAGTGTACCTGTAACAAAGACACCACTGACACACCAGGAGGACGAAGAGGTTTACTCTCCAGAGATCCACAAACGTCACACTTTGTTCTCTGGCACCCATGTCATGCAAACACGATACTACGGCTCAGCCAGAGTTACAGCAGTGGTTATGCGAACAGGTACATATTGCAGCAAACTGTTGTCAGTGTCAGGGCTATATGTTTAAAGGATTACTGATCCACAATTTTTGTTATTGATCAAGTTGAACCGATATCAATGAAATTTTGCAGAAACCTTCCCTGGCCTGGGTCAAAGTGAGTTAAATTGACTCAGATTTCAAAACTTTTCTCCAAATCCAGATATCGCAGAATCAAAACTCTTCATGGATGGAAGCATCTTAAGGTGCTTTGATTACCAAAATGGTTCTTGCGTTTTTTCCTGAGAAGGAAATTTTTTTCTAACTTAATTGTAGTTTTCATAGAAAATTTGTATTTTTGAGCATAATATTGTTTATTTCCCATTGAAAATAACTTTACAAGAATTATTGTTATTATTATTATTGCCCTTTGTTGGCCATGTGTCATTATGTCTGTATCGTATCTCATGTATATTCTATATCTGATAGTTTCTGAAAATGTGAATTTAATGACCAATACCAAATTGGTTTACATGCCCCCATGAATTTACAGAGTTATTGCCCTTTGTTGGCCATGTGTGATTCTGTGAGGGTCATATATCATGTCTACTCTATATCTAATAATTCCTCAGGATATAACTTTAGCTTCCCCAACCAAAATCTGTTATAACCATTTGTTTTATTTAGATGCCAAACATTGTCTGGAGTTAAAGGGATAGGAATTGTTTGAAATATCAGCTTAGTTCCACTTCTGTACTAACTTCAGTATCAATAACACTGGGTATTTGATATTTCAGGTTTCAGAACTGCAAAAGGAGAGCTTGTACGATCCATTTTATTTCCTAAACCGATCGACTTTAAGTTCTACAGAGATTCCATGAAGTTTGTCATGTTTTTAGGATTCATTGCCGCTATAGGAATGATTTACACAGTCGTGATATATGTGAAGGATGGGGTAAGTGAGATATAATTTTACATGTTAGGGATTTATTAATCAGGTGTTATGTTGGTGTGGGGTTAGTCTGTCTGGTATCTGTGCTTGTAATAAATAACTCTCAAGCATATTTTCCTGGGGTTCTTTTCCTTCTTTTTTATGTTCCCAGATCTAAAGAAATTTAACCCTGCCCATAACAATTGCAACATAAGATAAAATTTAGATTAGATGAAATAATAATAATAAAAATTCAATTTGATAGCTTGAAAATGAAGCTGATAAAGAAAAATATTGTCCATATGGTTTCTGTGAAAATAGGTCAACCCTGTGATGAAACATGAAAGTTTGACCCAATGAAAAACATATTCTATATAGGAGGATGTGTACATGATGAGAATGACCTTACTGGAGTATCTATCTGTGTGTTATAATGTTATCAGCAGGACATATTCAACTACTTAATGTTATGTGTTTGATAAAGTTAGGTTGTTGAGACTACTTATTTCAGTCATTTTATGTTCTGAATTCACTCCAGTATAGAAAAAAGTTATAAAGCAAAATCCAATGATTTCAGTAAAAATCAAGGCGACTACATGTACCACAAAAATAGCTCCAGAGCTGACAAGCAGGATTAGGCATAATTATTAATATAGAAGGGGACCATAGTAAATTTTCTGGATATAAGATTTGTTTCTGTGTAAACATTATTATAAAATTTGTTACAGATCCATCCATTTAATATTGTTTTACGAGTACTAGATGTGATTACCATCATCGTACCGGCAGCTCTGCCGGCTGCCATGACAATAGGCACAGCATATGCTCAGAGTCGTTTAAAGAGTGACAGCATCTATTGTATCAGCCCGCCCAGGATTAATTTCGGTGGACGTCTTGATGCTTTCTGCTTTGATAAGGTATGGTTAATTTCAAGTTCATTTGTCAACACATAATGAGGATACTTAGTGCTTTCAGAATTACTGATCTATAAAAAAGGAGGTGAGGAAAAAGACATGAAAATTTTTATTTGTATGAAAAAAAAAAACATTTTGAATTTTCTATTTCGTTTTAATTTTCACACACTGTGAATGGTGAGGAAAGAGAGCATTTCAACAATGTAGTCCAAACTTAAAAATCCAGATTAAGGTAAAGGAAACGTGTTCTAATGATGTTTTATGTTGCAGACATCAAATGTAACAAATATTACATAAGATGATTAAGTGTTGTATGTTTGTGTTGCAGACAGGGACACTAACAGAGGACGGTCTGGATATGATGGGAACAATTCCAATCCACAACAACAGGTCATTAACTCTCCTTTAATAACTTGGTTTACAAACAGCTGTGATCTTAAGGATTCATTTGTGATTATGTTAATTTCTCTATCAGTACTGGTAATGATTAACTATTAAAGAATGTTAAGGATTTTTTTATATTTACATGATACATACATTACCTTAATATCACAAATCAATATTGAAAATGTCTGTTTTGCAGATTTCTGCCCATCCAGTCTGACCCATCTAAATTGGACCATGGACCAATTCTAAATGCCATGGCAACCTGCCACTCACTGACCAAGATGGACGGGGAATTGTCTGGAGATCCCCTTGACTTGATCATGTTTGAATCCACAAAATGGGTAAGTGATGTTTACATGTATTAGTGACAAAACAGATTACGTGTAAGTGATGTTTATATGTATTAGTGACAAAACAGATTACGTGTAAGTGATGTTTATATGTATTATTGACAAGACAGATTACGTGTAAGTGATGTTATTTATAAAATTGTGCCCGCAGATTGATAATTCAGATAGAAGATCCTGGCCTATAATAAAGTAACAGTAAGTTGTTGCTGGGCTGGTGGTAATAATGGTGTAAAGGGTAGAACATAAAGACGTTGGTCCTGTAATTGGGAGAGCACCAAAGAATTCTAAATATTATGTAACATTGATTTATCAGATTGTGAATTAGAATAAAAGATCACTGGATACATTAAAATCATAATGTATGTTGAAATAGATTGTAATAATGGTATCAATATTACTACTGTGTATAACAGAACCTGAAATGTTTGGTTACATTTCCAGGTACTTGAGGAACCAGGACGAGACACCAGTAAATTTGATACAATGATGCCCACTGTTGTCAAACCTTGTACTAGGGACACATTCCTACCTAATCAGGAACAGGTAAAAATGTCCTACCTTGTTATCTCATCATGAAAGTTTTGGTTAAATTGTTTCTTTAAAATATTAAAATCTGGTCTGTTTACAATTTTTAAGATTTCTTTTGAAAGAAATATTTGTTTCATTACGATTTTTGTAAAAGTAACCAAAGTCTCCAGCATTTAATCAATAAGTGTTAATACAAAAATCTTGTTTATTAAGCTAATTAGATTTAACATGCCTAACTTTTCTCATTTCTGCAGCCTCCTTTAGAAATCGGTATCATACGCCAGTTTACATTTTCTTCTAACATGCAAAGGATGAGTGTAATAACTCGTGAACTCGGCAAAGAACACATGGAGCTCTACTGTAAAGGTGCTCCAGAAAAGATTATCTCCCTTTGTGTGTCATCAACTGGTAAGATTGTCCCTTCTGCAATCAGATTCACTGCAACTTTATTATGATTAGTAAATGTCTGCTACAAAAATTCTCTCAACAATTATTCAATAGAATTGACAATTGAATAACTTTTTCAAGAGTTTTGAAATTATGAGCCTCGATCTAATATGATTCATTACTTAAACTGAAACTGTTCTAAAAAAAATTCATTATTTGAATTTTGTATCTAATGAGAAATTTTAGATGTTTATCTAAAACAATGTGTTAAGGTAAAGCTTTGTTCAGATATTATTTCTTGACTTCTTCACTTGTTGACTTCTTGACCTGCAAAACTCAGATTATTCTTAATTAACAAAAAAACATATTTGAATTTATGTTTTTCAGTACCACTAGATTTTAAAGAAGTATTGCAGAGCTACACTTTACAGGGCCATAGAGTTATTGCTTTGGCCTGGCGACCCCTTGACCCTAAACTTACATGGCACCAGTCACAAAGGATATCTAGGTAAATTGTCTACCAGAATGGCTGAAAAAGCCATAGTTTTGATGCTGAGTTAAAGGCATCACATCATGGATAGTTCAAACTTTCATTATTTTTACTTATTGGAGGATGAATTAATTAACATTGATCTCAATATTTATTTTCACTAAGTCATTGTAACCAAAGCAAGGTAATATTTTCAGAAAATCTACCAGATAGGTACATTAAGCAAATTCAAAATAAAGCTGATCATTTTTTAAACAAGAAGTGAAAACATTAACAACACAATTTTTTCCCAACTGTCAAATTAATGTGTAAATGGTAAGGAAAGATAAAAGAAATTATTGTGGATTACCGGTAGCTGAGGATACATGTAACATAGGTCATTATGTACGCCAATGCCTCTGCTAGGATTCAAACACAAGACCTCTGACTTACTAGTCTTGACTGAGCTTAAAAGAAGTTCTCTCTGGTTGAGCAGTATATTGCAGCTAGTAATTTCCTAGGTGGAATACATGTTTGGGCATTGTTTAGTAAATGATGACATGTGTTTTGGTTGACAGAGACAAGGTGGAGAAGGATATGACATTCCTAGGATTGATTGTAATGCAGAACAAGTTAAAACCTCAGACCCGGCCGGTGATCCGCAGACTTATTGAAGCTAATATACGATGTGTTATGATTACAGGTATGGTTCTCAATCAACAACAGTCAGTGAAAGTTAGTGATTTGTTGTTTTATATATTTGAATGTTATATCAACATTTATGGTGAAGTAAATTCAGCTTTAATGAACAAAACTTTTTGTATGGACCACATGTGTTTCTACCTGTACAATACAGAATTCAATAGCACTCAACATTCAATATGGCTGCCTTAGCCCCCAAAATTTATAAATTATCTTTAGAGAGTTTTATCAAGACAAGAATCACATTACTGATTAACTTCCAACTTTAAAAAACTTAAATATGGTCTGTATCTCTTCTTCAGACATTTGTGTAGAGACACTGTTGTGATATGTTATAGGGGATATGATAGAGACTGCAGTGAGTGTGGCCAGAAACTGTGGCATGGTGCCACCACATGACAAAGTCATCATTGTTGATGCTGTGCCACCAGATAAGGATGCACCTGCTCGGGTGGAATACAAACACTCAGAGATGCCATCGAACAGTGTTAATGATGTGCCTCTGGTAATGTTACGTTGGTTATTGCAAACTATTCTGTATACTCCTAATTTAAAAAGTAGAAATGATGGTTTTTATATAACTTGAAGTGAACTATTAAAAGTTAATATGTAAGATTAAATTATTCAAAATTGTGCTAGACATAAGTCAGATGTTTCATCATAACAAGAAATGATGGTTTTTATATAGCTTGATTAACTATGCTAGATACAAATCTTTTATCACATTTACTGCTAAACAGCTTATTGAAGACTTTAACAATAATTTTGGACATCTGTGAGTAAATGTATGTAAGAGAAAACCGTTTCCATTAAGACATATTCTGAGGTATAATATTTACCTAAATTTGCATACATTTACACTACAATATGGTTTCTCCCATATTTTTCATGTATGATCATTATCTTGGCATTTTGTTTTTGAACAAAGATTTTAAAGGTTGGTATTATGCAAAAAGAGGGATTGTGACTAACCAAACTAAAGCCTTTTGACATGAAGGTTTAACCATAGAGTTAATTGTGTGAAAACTTTTAATAGCAGTATGAAAATGTCTCCTCTCTGATTTTCAGGAGTATACCCAGTTAGATATGGAAACCTCCAGTTTAAAATTCCACTTTGCTATAAATGGAAAGTCTCTCTCTGTGATAACCAACCACTTCCCTGATCTGCTATCTCGGGTAAGTATACAGCAACTTACTTGACTGCTGAGAAATGGTAAAGGTCAAAGGTTCAACAAGTCATAGTTTTTGAATTACCTTTTTCTTCTGTTTTAAAATCATACCTGTGAAAATTTATTTATTCCTAACTTTAAGTTATTTGTTCTTTTAGTCATGTATACAGACATCATGAAATAATATATAATTCATAGTTACCCTAGCACAGACTAAACATATTGATGATGTCTATGTTTTATTTACAGATCTGTGTAGTGGGCACTGTTTTTGCCAGGATGAAGCCAGACCAAAAATGTCAACTTATACACAAGTTACAATCACTTGGGTAGGTTTACACGAATATTTAATGTTTCTCAGATCCTACTTTAATCTTCTTAGCATTTCTTTGTGATATCTTTTTAACAATATCCAAGTCAAACCTTTTACAGATGATTGATTTAATTACGTCTTAAAAAGATGGATTATTGAGAAGTAAATTTGAATAATTGACAGTGTATCAGAAATATATCTAGGGTTTTTTATCGTCTTCAATTTCAGCCCAATTTCACAGAGATTAAGATATTTTTCTGATTAAATTTTGCTTAAGAAAATATCCAAAATCTTCCCAATATATGATGATCTTGAAATTGAAGTTTATTGTTACTAAAAAGTTCTGAATTAATCCTTAAGAATTTCAATGTATGATGATTCCCCTTGGTCCCTACTTGTGCTTGTCCAGTATGAGACAGATTGGGGGAAATGACCAGCATGTGGACAACTTGGATTTTGACATCTGAAATGTTAGAGAAGTGGTTTGAATTCTGGAGATTAGTGGGGATTTCATTCGTTCCTCAGCTTTACAAAAGTTGTTATTCTCAAATGAAACTGTACCCCAAAAAAGCATGACACCTCTTTTCATATCATGCTACCTTGCAAAGAGTCAAATTTTGGGATGTCAACCATTTAAACAAATTATGATACATGGTTGTCTCCCCATAGATCAAGAAATGGTTCCAGGTGAAGAGAAATGCTAGTATTTAATGTGTTTTGATATTTATCATTGTAGGTACCATGTGGGTATGTGTGGTGACGGGGCTAATGATTGTGAGGTAAGTGAACCTATAATAACTAAACACATTACAGCTTATATACTTTGAAAAGAGTTTTTATAAATATTGCAAATGAGCCTCTTTATCAAGTTGCCGGAGGACAATCAGATTTTTTTTATTTTGAAGCACAGATTCTAATTTTGCTAGCCCCTACTTAGATGGCCTTTATATACAGCCTCAATTATTATGAATTGCATTATAAAGATAAACCAAAAAAAAGTGGTCTTTATAGACAGGTGGCCTTTGCATCACGATGGCCTTCAAGACAGGTTTGACCTACTTTCAAAAATAGATTACCAGAAATTGTTAACATTTCATAACATATCCAAGGAAGCTGATTAAAGAAAAGCATGATACACGTGCCTTTAAAACTTTGTATTGTAGGCCCTGAAGGCAGCTCATGTTGGAATATCTCTGTCTGAGGCAGAAGCCTCTATAGCAGCTCCATTCACCTCCAGTATCCCACACATAGAGTGTGTCTACACTGTCATCAGGTCAGTATCAAGGTAGATTATATGGTGGTAGAGGTCTCTATAGCAGCTCCATTCACCTCCAGTATCCCACACATAGAGTGTGTCTACACTGTCATCAGGTCAGTATCAAGGTAGATTATATGGTGGTAGAGGTCTCTATAGCAGCTCCCTTCACCTCCAATATCCCACACATAGAGTGTGTCTACACTGTCATCAGGTCAGTATCAAGGTAGATTATATGGTGGTAGAGGTCTCTATAGCAGCTCCCTTCACCTCCAGTATCCCACACATAGAGTGTGTCTACACTGTCATCAGGTCAGTATCAAGGTCGATTATATGGTGGTAGAGGTCTCAATAGCAGGTGATTCACCTCCAGTATCCCACACATAGAGTGTGTCTACACTGTCATCAGGTCAGTATCAAGGTAGATTATATGGTGGTAGAGGTCTCTATAGCCTCCCTATCATTGTTACACATAGGTGTGTCTAATATGGTGACACCCCCCCCCCCCCCCCCCCCCCCCCCCCCCCCCCCCCCCATCATTGAATCCTCCATCTTATTGTTACTGGGTGACCAATAAGGTGACCCTCCATCACTGAATCCTTGATCATATTGTTACTAGGTGACTAATAAGGTGACCCCCTATCATTGTTACTAGGTGACTAATAAGGTGACCCCCTATCATTGTTACTAGGTGACTAATAAGGTGACCCCCTATCATTGTTACTAGGTGATTAATAAGGTGACCCCCTATCATTGTTACTAGGTGACTAATAAGGTGACCCCCTATCATTGTTACTAGGTGACTAATAAGGTGACCCCCTATCATTGTTACTAGGGTGACTAATAAGGTGACCCCTTATCATTGTTACTAGGGTGACTAATAAGGTGACCCCTTATCATTTTTACTAGGTGACCAATAAGGTGACCCCCTATCATTGAATCCTCCATCTTATTGTTACTAGGTGACTAATAAGGTGACCCCCTATCATTGAATCCTCTATCTTACTGTTACTAGGTGACTAATAAGGTGACCCCCTATCATTGTTACTAGGTGACTAATAAGGTGACCCCCTATCATTGTTACTAGGTGACCAATAAGGTGACCCCCTATCACTGAATCCTCTATCTTATTGTTACTAGGTGACCCCCTATCATTGTCACTAGGTGACCAATAAGGTGACCCCCTATCATTGAATCCTCCATCTTATTGTTACTAAGTGACTAATAAGGTGACCCCCTATCATTGTTACTAAGTGACTAATAAGGTGACCCCCTATCACTGTTACTAGGTGACTAATAAGGTGACCCCTTATCATTGTTACTAGGGTGACTAATAAGGTGACCCCTTATCATTGTTACTAGGTGACCAATAAGGTGACCCCTTTTCATTGAATCCTCCATCTTATTGTCACTAGGTGACTAATAAGGTGACCACCTATCATTGTTACTAGGTGACTAATAAGGTGACCCCCTTTCAATGTTACTAGGTGACTAATAAGGTGACCCCCATATCATTGAATCCTCCATCTTATTGTTACTAAGTGACTAATATGATAAATCTTATGTTACAGAGAAGGCAGAGCTGCTCTGACTACGTCCTTTGCTTGTTTCAAGTATATGGCTCTTTACAGCTTTATACAGTTTGTGTCTGTGATGATATTATATTCCGTGAGTATTTGTTTTATATAGTGCTTCATAAAGGAGATCAATTTAATTGTTATTGGAATAAATTCAGAGCTTTGTTACTGAGAGGGTTTGAATTCATATGAATTGTTTACACAATAATACTTGGTACAAATTTAAATATTGTGAAGAATTAATGAAAAAATAGTTAAGGCAGTACGGTTAAAGCATATTAACAAAAGTGCCAGATTTTGTTTTCCTGACTTTTTGAGAGGCAAACTTCTGAAGAACTTCTTAAAATAACTGTTTGATTCTAAATTTACAAATATATACCAGGAGGGATATGTGAATCAGATTCTGCATAGTCCTTGGCTAATTTTGTTGATTTGTTCTGTTTTCAGTTTGAAGCCAACATGTCTGATACTCAGTTTTTATATGTAGATCTCGTCATCACTACAAGTATTGCCATATTTAGTAAGTATAGTGTCACATGTTTAAATACACCATCAGAAATGTATTAACAACGTTAAATTATCAACACATTGAATCTTTCAAATTTTTTTGGATGTGTCACCAGGTAATACCTTAAGTTAATGGTATGTATTATTTGACATCCTTGGAAGATCGTAAACATCAAACGTTTTCAGCCATTGAATGAGACAGTTTATCTTGTAACTAACACATGGTGTTTGTGATGTAAGTTAATTTGATGATGATCTCAGTGAAGATATTTAAAATGTTTTATTTTAACTGATCTTAAGATATTGAACAGCCTAAGAAACATATTAAAATGTTTAAGGATATTGTAAAGCAGGAAACCTCAGCATTCTGGTTTGATTAGACTATAAAATGTGTTTCCTTTTCAGTGGGTTACACCAAAGCAACACTGGTGTTGGTCCCCAAGCGTCCCCCGGGTAGTTTGGTGAAGTTGTCTAATCTACTGTCTATCATAGTGCATGTACTGCTGGTGGCACTCATACAGGTGGGCGCCTTATTCTACCTGAAGTCACAATCCTGGTAAGTTGTTTCCCTTGTACATTTGTACAGATACATAACATACTGTATTCTGATATTGTTGGAGGTAGATAAATTTTCAAGATTGTAAAGAACAAAATCTAAAGATAAAGTAATTGTGCATGGCATACTGAAGCAAATTTAACCAATATCAACTCTGTCTTCTTAATTTAACCTATACAATGCAGTTTGTTCATCTGTTTGCATGGCATTCATGAGTGTGAGCTTTCAGGTAAATCTGTTTACATGTCACTCACGAGAGTATGGACTTTATTTTCACCTTGTTGCTTCTGAAAGAATGTATTGTTTATCACTGATTAGAATAAAGCTCGCCTTATTTGTTAACTATTGATAGGCTCTGTGACTTAGATCTATAACAAAAGGCTATTTCAAGTATTTGACAAATTATAGCTCTTCATCAGCAGTATTCTGAGCTTAAAAATTAACTTGTACCTTGGAATGTAGAATCTACTGATCTAATGACTTGAGCTTAGACAAGTGTAAACTACAAGATATTTGACAAGGGCTGCAATAGGACAGTCAATTAGGCATCAGAGTATTTAAGTTCAGCAGAAGATCTATGGTGAGTGGTTTGATTCCTACGAGGGGCAGAGCTTCTTGTGCTGCCGTTGTTGGTGTCCTTGTGCAAGAAGGTGCTTTTTTACCCTGATAGCATATGATGGGCCTCCCTAATAATATTCACTGATGTAGCCACCAGCTACTTCAAGGTGACCTCTACCACAAAATGACCAAGCTAACAATATGTTTGCCCTGATTAAGTGTCTTGCTTATTTTGTTAAAGTAATTTATTTCAGAAACCTAGTGGTAAAGGCAAATGTTTCAGAAATGATTTTCGACAGATCGTCAGTGCATCACATTGAATTAAATTTTTTTCTATGTGTTTTTGTTACAGGTATACTAAAGCACTGCCTAATGATCATGCTGAAAATACAAAGTGCTGGGAGACCACAACTGTATTCCTTGTGTCATCTTACCTATATATGGCTGTGGCGTTTTGTTTCTCACGTGGACCACCCTATAGGAAACCAATTTATACAAACAGTACGTACACAATCGTGAACTTTGGGTTATAAGTATATAAAGAATACAAGTTCTCTATTTTAACCATTAGAAAACTTTTGTGTGATAATTTTATGACCACACTGTAGCCATCATCAGACAAATGACGAGATTTAAGCTGATTATTACAATAATAATTGTGTCATTGGTTTTGTGTTACAGTTCCTTATCTAATCACACTAGTGTCTCTGGTGACGTTTTCCACTGTGATGGTACTGCTGACACCTCATCCGATTCTCAATTTCTTTGGTGTAAGTATATGTTACTGCTAGGATATGGAGGAATCCATCAATTCACCCCAGAACTAATTCGTATGAGGATTCAAAAATATGTAACTTCAAAAGGAATTCCAGCTATTTTATGTCAGGCATATAGTGTTACTCTTACAGGTCCATCCATCACATCATGTTATGTCCCATCCTATCCCAATGTCACTTGGTGAAAAACTCTCTGCAGTAAAGGATCACATTTGCCCCTTATATCACTATATAAAATCCTAGATTCTGGTTTGTATAGGAACTAGGAATTCAGGCCTTACAGATATTTTCTAGTTAAAACTTCAGACATATTGGAGGGCCAATTAACTGCAAATTACAAGTGGAAAACCTTTATGTCTTTGCCTGAAAGTGTTTACTGACTTAGCTGTAAGAGGTGTTAGTTTAACTTATTCCCAGCAGAATAGATATAATGTACACTATATAAGTATAACCATGTAACAATGATGTTTTTCAGATCATGCCTTTATGGGAGAAAAGCCTTGAGTTCCGAATGTTGTTGCTGGTGTTTCCAGCCACGCACCTTATCCTGTGCTGGATAGCTGAGGTACACAATGGACACTCTTGTCCCACTTCTTCTATCACTTTTCAGCTTGTAATGAAAACATTAATCACAACATACTGACGCATTACCAATAAGAGGGTGTTTCCTTTATTATGTCTACTAGTTTCGCCTCTGAAGTTGAGGCTTCATCAGGTCCTGATGAGTTCTCAACTTCAGAGCGGTCCTGATGAGGCCTCAACTTCAGAGCGGTCCTGATGAAGCCTCAACTTCAGAGGCGAAACTAGTAGACATGATAAAGGAAACACCCTCCTATTGGTAATGCATCAGTATGTTGTGATTAATATCCGTTTTGCACATACTATTTAGTTTTTGTTTAATTGCCCTGCATACAATCTGGTATTCATACCCACAGTGAAGTACCCCACTAAATAACCACGTAGCCAGACCTGACATTGGCTCCTTTCGTTTGAAGTTCTTTAGAAAATTAACAATTTATTGACACAAAACTAAAGTATGTAACATTGATCTCTGCCCAATTAAAATGAGTCTGTCCAATTTAGCAAAACGTTGTAGACAATGACAACAATAAACAGTAATCTCTATGTTTGTATTTGTCAACACCCTGATATTTATGCATTATGTCCAATTATCTACCAAGACAGCAGATTTATTCATATTTTCATTCATTAAGGACTCGGTGATATTGAAAATTATAACAAAATTTGAGTTGAAATATAACAACATTTAGACTGTTCTTTCTTATATAAACTGGGCAATAATAACAATTTTGAAATTAAGAGGTAAGAGCTTAGATCTGGAAAGCTGGTTTGAAAAATATTGTAAATAGTGATATTCAGTGAAGGAAATCTGGGTTAAACTCTGAGTGATATATTTAGTCAAAACTAGTTCTTGTTCTTCTCATTATTATTCATCTAACAAGGTTTTTTCTTTTTTACAGTATATACTTACAGCTACCAGTTGTGTGAAAAGTATGAAAGCTATGTGCATGAAAAAGAAAAGGGCACCTGATACCTACAAGTATATACGCAGTGAAATAATTATGACAGATTGGCCCAATATAACTGAGACATTGCCAGGAAATGTGATTATGGGACAGACTAAGGAGCAGGATTGGGATGAGGATGAGATAGCTGAAAGTATGAATGTGAATGTTGGCATCATCAACTAACTGTGATATCATATATGTGTTATATACTACAGTAAAACATGTTTATAGCTGAGAGGGTCAGAATTATATCATATGTGTTATATACTACAGTAAAACATGTTTATAGCTGGGGGTCCAGAATTATATCAGATGTGTTATATACTACAATAAAACATGTTTATAGCTGGGGGTCCAGAATTATATCAGATGTGTTATATACTACAATAAAACATGTTTATAGCTGGGGGTCCAGAATTATATCAGATGTGTTATATACTACAGTAAAACATGTTTATAGCTGAGAGGGTCAGAATTATATCAGATGTGTTATATACTACAGTAAAACATGTTTATAGCTGGGGGTCCAGAATTATATCAGATGTGTTATATACTACAGTAAAACATGTTTATAGCTGGGGGTCCAGAATTATATCAGATGTGTTATATACTACAGTAAAACATGTTTATAGCTGAGAGGGTCAGAATTATATCAGATGTGTTATATACTACAGTAAAACATGTTTATAGCTGGGGGTCCAGAATTATATCAGATGTGTTATATACTACAGTAAAACATGTTTATAGCTGAGAGGGTCAGAATTATATCAGATGTGTTATATACTACAGTAAAACATGTTTATAGCTGGGGGTCCAGAATTATATCAGATGTGTTATATACTACAGTAAAACATGTTTATAGCTGGGGGTCCAGAATTATATCAGATGTGTTATATACTACAGTAAAACATGTTTATAGCTGTCCAGAATTATATCAGATGTGTTATATACTACAGTAAAACATGTTTATAGCTGAGAGGGTCAGAATTATATCAGATGTGTTATATACTACAGTAAAACATGTTTATAGCTGAGAGGGTCAGAATTATATCAGATGTGTTATATACTACAGTAAAACATGTTTATAGCTGAGAGGGTCAGAATTATATCAGATGTGTTATATACTACAGTAAAACATGTTTATAGCTGAGAGGGTCAGAATTATATCAGATGTGTTATATACTACAGTAAAACATGTTTATAGCTGGGGGTCCAGAATTATATCAGATGTGTTATATACTACAGTAAAACATGTTTATAGCTGGGGGTCCAGAATTATATCAGATGTGTTATATACTACAGTAAAACATGTTTATAGCTGGGGGTCCAGAATTATATCAGATGTGTTATATACTACAGTAAAACATGTTTATAGCTGGGGGTCCAGAATTATATCAGATGTGTTATATACTACAGTAAAACATGTTTATAGCTGGGGGTCCAGAATTATATCAGATGTGTTATATACTACTGTAAAACATGTTTATAGCTGGGGGTCCAGAATTATATCAGATGTGTTATATACTACTGTATGTGTGTTGGTTGTAAACATGTTCTACTGTATATACAGGTAAACGTGTGTGATATCATCTCTGTAATGATATAATCATTACTCACACTCTCGACAGCTGCTCATCAATCCTTAGTAAAATACTTAAGTCTATGGCAGTGGTTGTGTATTTGCAGTTTTTCCTGATTTCTGACATGATTTGAACTGAAAATCAGTTGTGGCCAGTAACTATAAGCTGAGTTCAAGTTAATTTGACATAAAATAACTACATTGTAGAAGTAGCAGTGGTATTAATGGTTAACAAGCATCAGTGACTGTTCTGTTTTTATGATTGAGACCAGCAGTACTTTGTGGCTTACAGCTATATTTCACTCTTATGTTTTAACTTTAGCGTATAATTTTGAGAGAAAATGTGAAATGTTCATTTGATATTGTGTTAGTGTATGAAACAAGTGTTTATAATCAGCAATGTGGTAACAGAATATTATTGTTACTATGACTTTTAATTGGTGCTTGATTCATGTCATAATTTTCTGCTCAGTATATCAATTCATAAGATCATAACTTTTTGGCACAATCAACTTTAGATGCATTATAAAATTGTAACAAATAAGTGCAATGATGAATTTGGGCATTCACTTATTAACAACATGCATAATTTACAGTCAACTTGCAGTCATATTTTAGTTCCATGTTTTTAGCATGAAAAACACTAGAATAAGATTATCAATAAAACGTTTGCAGTACACAATGTAAAAAAGGTACTAAGTTTATGCCATATAGCATATAAAGGACCTCCCATATTTTGTTCAATGAGGTAGACACCTGCTACTTAAAGGAGATTTCATCTCAATTTGACTCTGGTTGTTCACAGGGCGTTAAACCCAGCCAACAAATATCCATGCCACACAACGGCTTTGTATGCTAATTCTCCTAACTTGGCCTCATTACACTATCATTCTAGCCAAGTTCAGATTCTGTCATTTCTCTGCTAAATCAGTCACGATACTTAATTACTGTGTATCATGATAAAGAACTCACATTGATTGTAAGATTTGATGATTTTAGTATCAAATATCCTTTATATAGATAACCTAAAATTGTAATTGATATATCTCTTTGTTAAACTAGAGTGCCATGTACCTTTGTTCTTCTTTGGAAGATTGTAACATGACATTGGAATAATATATTCTGTATTCCTGGTTATTTTCCTAATTGTTGTGTCTGAGATAAAAGCTGTAACATTACTGTCAGTGATACATGATGTTGGAAAATATTGAACCTATATATTGTGATCTGTTAGATAATTACAGTTATATAATTATAACGGTGTTACATTATTAAAAAAAATGTGGGGAATTTTGTATGGTGATCACTTTACTGTTTATTTATCAGGTCAACTTTAATGTCTTGGTAAGTATCTCTACCAACATTTGACATCTAGCTATTGACCTTGCAGGCTCTGTTTGGTGCTGTATAAATTCTGTGGGTATTAACACTGCTTTGTAAACGGAGACCATTTCAGTAGATCTTCATAGTTCATTGACAAAGTATTACTTTCCGTAGATTTTCCTATTTTAACTATAGTATATCAATGTAACCTTCATTCTATTGGTGACACAGTAATCCTAGTTATCCTTGATTCATTAGCTGTAATTTCATTGGCTGGTGCAGCCTAGATTTCATACCTTCAACAGGAATAGATCACATTTCATTTATTCTACTTTCGTTTTACTCATACCCACAGAAGAAACCCTGTCTTTAAATATTTGTTCGTTTAACTATTTAATCGCCTAGACAACTTTGTTTCCCTATTTTGTAGACAAAAAAAACCTGTAACAAATGATTCATTTTGACATTCCAGTGTGTTATACATGTATTAACATGTATTTTTGATATTCAAAGAATGTCTTTGTAAAACAAAAATTTCCGAATAATATTTCATAGATTTATCTTCATTTTACTAAATAGACATACATGCCAAATTTTCATAATTAATGAAATCGTTTTCATATTTTTGTTTTAGATCATGAGTATGAATCAGGGAAATGTGTGAGTTTGAGGCCCAGACAGGGCACAAGATATTGTAAATGAAGTCATACCTTGATCTTTCCTCCTGTTCTGTTAACTGTGTGATGAATCAATGTGTATTTTACAGGAGTGTAGATCAAGATAGAGTTTCAATTAGACTGAAGACAACAAATGCCTTCCTTTATTCAAATCACCAAGTCATTTTCTATTTTATTAACTATCGTTTTTTCCTCCTCGCCATTACAACATGATATTATATTTCACCTTTATGATAACACAGTAGGCACTTAACATTTTTTTTAATATTCTTAAAGTAATTTACAAATGACTGTAAACCAATATTTTCATGGAATTTCTTTTCTGTGAAGTAAAGATAATCACTACAAATCAAGACCAGAATAATAAATGGTTCTAGTATGGTATTATATAGCGGCTTACTTTCATGTGTGAAGTTTTTGGTAATTTTCTTTCTAAAATAACATGATTTACCTGGTAATTGAAACGTCGCCTTCTTGATGGAAGAGGAAACTTTATTTTCACAAATATTGCTCTTAATGTCATTAGTTTCAAATATGTTATTGATCTATCCGTCAAAAACGATAATTTGTGATATAGTTGATTAGAATGATTTTGAATGATTCTAGTCTGTATTATGTAAAATAGAATCTTTTTCGCATACCATACAGGCCATTGTAATTGATGAAATATCCTAGGATAATCCGAGATGACCGAGTCACCAACAGTTTTATTACATCATTGATAATAATGATGAGTGATTATGTCTTGTCATTTCATTGGTCAGATTTGAGCAATAACACCAGGAAATGGCAGAAACATCATACCCATGAATGTATCCTGCTATATAACAGTAAAAATCAATAGCAGCAGACTTCTTGTCAGGCTGAAATTGTAAAAGTCAGGAGAGAAAATTGGTTTACAGTATGTACTTTTACTTAATAGATTATAAAAAAAATCAGAAATGTTTTAAATGGTGACATGTGTTGATTAACACTTGGGGCACCTGTGTAACATTATAACCGATACATACCAGTAACCATGGTAACAATTAACACGTATATAAAATGATTGATTTTTGATAACATGTTTTTTTAAACATTGAATTCAAACATCAGTTCCTACAGATTTTCAGTAACATTAAAGACTTTTTAATAATTATTTGATAATAAAAGTTAAATTGAGATTATACAGAGGAAATTACACTTTAAATTTTGTGTTAAGTTTAAATGTTACTGATAATCTGTGATATTTCATTGCCTATATTTATAAACTATGCAATTTGTTCGCCATATATATATGAATAATGAAAAGCCATAATATTTTTTTTATTAAAATTGATGAACAAGACTTGTATACATATAGAGATTGATGATCATGTTTATTCGTAAAAATAGCAAATACCAGAAAGTTAAACAGCATTATTGCTAACAGAGGCCACAGCTGCCAAAAAGAGATAGCAATGAAAATATGATTAGGTTTTTTCAGGGAACATATTGATATCTTAAAATATTTTTTATCAATATTTGTGAATTTTAGTGTAATGTTTATGTATTAAGAAATAATACCAATTTAGCTGAAACTGATAAATAGCCCGGACTGCAACAATTACAAAATGTATACTTAA